AGGTTGCTCGAAGAAACCGGGAGACGCGAAGAGAGAGGCTGCAGTTGCCATAGCGACGGAGGGACGCACGCACGTGTCGTTCACGTGCGTGCGTCCCTCCGCTGCGTTGGAAACCAACAACTGCAACGACAGACCAATCGCAGGTCGAGGAGAAGTCGACGAAAAGGAGAAGTGTTCGCGCGCGTTGCATGCCGGTCAGTGCCGGTCGCGGGCCGGCTGCTTCTATCCGCAAACATGGCGTCAGTTGTGATCGTCGACGTAGATTGCGTGATGGAGGCTCATCGTTCCGCGTAAAAGCGCTATCCTTGACTGTGGATTTTCGATGTGTGTCGTTATGATAACCCAGCACGTACTAGAAGGGAAGATCCACCTACTCGTGCGGCGATGTTGTGGCGGCACTCTCAAGACGGCAGAAACGCCCGTGTCGTTGTGTTTGTTTACTTCGACTACAGAGGTGCTTTCTGTGTTTTCGAACATCGCCCGGATTTCTTATTTGGAGCATTTCATGCCTGTGCTCAAGTTGAAGGTATTACTGGCGCGTACCGTATAAAGGATATGAATTTTAACGCGTTTTCATCGCCGGAGAAAAGTGATTAGGGTTAGCAATCCTGAACGCTCGCAACGTCCGTCCGCAACCTGCGACGCCGTTAAAAGGCTGCGCCAGGCAAAAGTCGCTCATTTCTTTCAAAATGTGTGACACACTTGAGAGAAGTGTACTAGTCCGGTGAAATAAAGGCTTTCCTCAAACTAAGCTTTATTTTAGAGCGCAGCTCTTAGGGGCCCGTTCCCGGCTTGAGCGGCGTCGGCGTAACCAAGGTCATCCCAAGGTCACGTGATCCCCAAGGTCACGTGACCCCTCCAGGTCACGTGACCCCTCCAGGTCACGTGACCCCTCCCAAGGTCATCTCAAGGTCACGTGACCCTAAGATGACCCCACGTGACCCCCTGAAGGTCACGTGACCCCAGAGGTCACGTGGTCTCCTCCCCAAGGTCACGTGACCCCTCTTAAGGTCATCTCAAGGTCACGTGACCCCAAGGTAACCCCCTGAAGGTCACGTGACCTAAAGGTCACGTGACCCCTCTGAGGTCACGTGACCTCGGGGGTCACGTGGTCGCCTCCCCAAGGTCACGTGACCCTCGAGGTCACGTGACCCCTCCAGGTCACGTGGTCTCCTCCCCAAGGTCACGTGACCCCCTGAGGTCACGTGGGTGTCACCTTGGGGGTCACGTGACCTTGAGGTGACCCCCACGTGACACCCAAGGTCACGTGACCCCCAGGTCACTCCTCCCCGAGGTCATGTGTCCCCCTCCCCGAAGTCACGTGACACCCCCCCCCCCCCCCCCCCCCCCCCCGAGGTCACGTAACCCCCCCCCCGGAGCATATTAAAGAATGTGAGGAGGAGGAGGAGAAGGAGGAGGGGTCTACCCTTCCCTCAGTACCCTTCACTCCTCCTCCTCAAGAGCTGCGCTCCAATTCGGCGTTACAGGGATTTGTAAACGGCTTTCACTTTTTTCATCTAACATAAAATAAATTCTTTTACATAGGTAAGTTGTCTGATGGCATGTATTTTGGCCTGAAAAATTGATGTTTTGGTTATAACGCGGTACCGCTTATAGTGCGGATTTTTGCGACTCCCGCAACATACGTTATATGCGGTCTACACTGTACTTGCTTTGGTCTAAAGCGTTTTAAGTACCGCGCTTCCCGCGCATGTACGAGTGTGCGGCCGTCGCCTCTGGCAGGGTCGTCTTTCAAACAACACTTTGCGAGCTCGTCGGGTGGCTGGGATTGCGAGACCACGCAGTGCTGCTCCGTTGTCATCTTTTCCTGCCAGCGTGATGCCCTTTCATTTAAATAAAGCCTCCTAGTGGATTCTTTTTTTTCCCATCTTAAAATGACAGACACGAGTCCATAGACGCGTGAAAATGTGCATGACACCAAAATGGCGAACGCAAACAAGCAGTCGGGGGATGGCGATGGGGCTAGCCAACTTGTACCGAGCATTGAGCTCTTCTTGAGGCATACCGAGTTGCAAACATAGAACGAACAAATGCAGCACAACATGAGAGTTGACTTTCCCCTTCTCCTCCTCCTCTTCTTCCCATGCACGCACAATCAGCAGACTACGCGACCCGGGAGGGCGTTTTTGCTTTTGTACCTTTGTTTTCTCTCTTGCCGTGATGCCGTGGAAATGACCTTGAGCGTCTCGCGGAGTGCCGCGCCCAAAATGTAACTCTTATGATCCTTTTTTTTTTTTTTCGTTTTTTTTTTTTTTTTTTTTTTTTTTGAAAGTGGATTTTGTGTTTGTTGTAACAGAATGACGCTTTGATAAATGGTCATTTTATCTGGACCAATTTTAATAGCTAGGGCCTTGAATTTGTATATTTTCTGAAAGCTGGTTGTTATAACCGATAGGTCGTTATATGTGGGATGATTATAAGTGGGTTTGACTGTATATGTTTAGCTATCACGTTCCACTCTTAAAGGTGAAGCTTAATGTGCCCTCCTGTAATTTTGTGCACCACCTTTTGGCTCTTGACATAGAATTTTTTCAATATAATTGTATACACTGCAGCCATGCACATATAAAGTGAATAGTTAGATATGAATAGTAAATCAGAAAGTACCGGGCAAGGCATGTCTCACCTTCGAAGAATTAACCCTAGCTCTGACCGAAGTTCGAGGGATGCAGTTTAACCAACCCGGGTGTTTCGAGTGACTACCGTAAAATACCGGGCAAGCGCCCACTCAAAATTTTGAGATAATCATGAAAAAATGGGGGATGGGCGCTTGTCCGGTCATCAGTTCTACATATCAATGTACTGTGCATATTTTCTCAGATTTTACAAATTTGGGTATGGGCACTTAATGTGGTATGGTCGGATGCACGGTCTTTTACGGTACCTATTTTAAACAGTCAAGACATCCCCTTGAAAATCCCACGAAAAAGCATAGGATTCTTATGCGTCCATATCAGACTCCAGCACATGGAACATTCATTATATTGAGCTGCATGCCGCACTTCTAGTAGGTAGGCTTCTCCTGAACACAACTGGCGCTACTCCCGTGATCGGTTTGCATCCGCCGAGGTTGTGTAAGGAACATCATAGCACTCGCCAGCCATTCCTCTAGCTCTGACTGTGGGCAGCGAAAAGGGCAAGGAAGCAGAGGGGAAAAGCAACACAATGTCTTGACTCCTTTGCCACGAAATAAAAAGAAGAAAAAACCTTAAGCAGCCACTGAAAAGAAAAAAAAAAGCCTTTTTTAAACAGTCTGAATGGGACACGCAAATAAAAATTTAATTTCACACGAAAAAAAAAAATTTTTAGAGCAATTTTGATGGTGAGAGACGCGATTTCGTCGGTAGTCACATCCTTTTCCCTTTTTTTCTCTCTCGGCCTTTCGGGCGCATGGAGGAGAGGTGGATTGGCTTGGCCACCACGTTGAGGTAAAGAGATGTGTACGACCATCTCATTGAGGTGAAAAGAGTGTGTTACCATTCTGTGACAACATGGACTTTGCACACAGAATTAAAAATAAATCTTGTGCCATCAATATTGCTCTAGAAAGTTTTATTTTCACGTAAAATATGTTTTTTTACACGCATGTCCCAACCAGACAGTTTAAAAAAAACATTTTTTTCTTTTCAGTGGCCCTTCAAGACTGGTCCAACACATTGGCAACGGTTGTGCAATCATGCTTTGAATGCCTACTGTTTAATTTTTCTTTTGTCGTTTCTTTTACTATTTTTTTTTGGGGGGGGGGGGGGCTTATCTGTAAACTTTAATTGCTTCTTTTCTTTATGCATCCTCCAGACCTCTTTTTGTTAAACTTCAGCTTTCCCTTTTGTTATTTATTTTCGGCTTCTGCGACCCGTGCCATTGAGGTCGTGGCCATGTGGGCACGTAGGCATGGCGAAGACCGTGCAATAGGTGGCGCACAAGCGGCGGCACTTGCGGCTCCCATCAACTGAGCTTTAACAAGTTTTTATCGTATCTAGCGCTTTTTAGATGCACCAATTGGTATGCTCCTGTTTGTGACAGTCTTCGGTATTGGCAGGGACGTGGGGAAATTTGAATTGGAGCTTAAGTTAACATTCTTTTGTATGTTGAAAAGTTCATACTTGTGACAAACTGAGTCCGTCGCAGTCGTAACTCCTACAACTATGGTGGCTACACTACAACCACACAACGATGCTTTCGTCTTGCCCGCGACTTCACGAGAGTCCCCTTGCCCTCCACTGCTTTCGTGGACAGCTGCCAGGGGCGCCTTAGACGGGCCAGTCCCATCCCTCATATATTATGTCAAACCAATTTGTGATCCCTTTTGAATTTGATTTCTCCAGGTTCAACTGTACGAAACTCCAGGCCCTCACTACTGACAGCAAGGACACCGTGGAGGCCACTCTGATAACTTTAAGAGCTGTCTTACTCAGAAAGAGATTAGCTTGCTTGCCAGATGCGGTGATGAAGGTGGAAGCCAAATCAAAATCAATGTATAACGAAGGACTTCTAGAAGTGCCAACAGCATGAACACTTGCTGCAATTTCGGTTTGCAATCTGAATTCAAGACACTTGTGCTTCAACCCTAAGCATAGACTGTGTCGTCCTTGTATGTGAGGTTACAATATTGAGGCCCCTTTGGCCACTGGGAAGAGAGCTGAAGGCTCACAGAAAAAGACGGGGAAATGTATGGTAACGCTAGATTAAACTGCGAAAGGAATCAATGAGTGAGTGACTAATCCAACTGCTCGATTTACTGGAAGTTGGCACTTGAAACAATATGCAGGCGGCTGGTGTTGAGAATGCAAAACGAAACTCAAGTGCAAGCAAAGATGGAGAATAAAGTTCTCCAGTCTTTGTGAAGCTGCTGCTGTTTGAGGATTTTCGATTCAACATAGTAATATGCTATTCAGAGGGCTCCAGCTGAGATTTACTTAAAATTGTAGATGGTGAATAAAACACTTGGAAGAGATATTTTGCTGTAAGTGGAAGCATACCTTGAGAAACTTGTGGTCCTCGTGCCAGTCAACCTCGGTGTCGAAACGCACGTATGGGTGCACGGCGTCCACAACAATGGTTTGAGTGACCGTGCTCCGGGCGCCCACAGCAAACTTGACACGAACCGAAGCTTGCAGTGGGCCACTCTCCAAGATGGCTGCCGGTTCCAACAACTGCCAAAGTTGATTGTACCTTCAGAAAGCAGTTCTTTCAAGCAAATGCATGAGATACAAAAGTTTGAAGCAAAGGTAAGGGCTCTGTGCAAGACCAACACGTAATGTTCTCCAACTGCACAAAAACTCACCCATGCTTTAAGGTTACAGCTGCTGACAAGTATAGGACAATAGATATGACAGGTGAGCTAGTTTCAGTGCAAAGCCTATCTTATTGCCTTCAGCGGTGCCTTGACATTTTATAAGCTTCAGTTGACCATGTCACCGAAGCATCATCAGAGATAAGAGGCTGCACTAAAGAGGGTTCAAAAGAGACCAGTTGTTCTTAGACTGTTTGCTATACTACACTTGTTTTCACCTCAAGAACCGTAGTAAAAAAAAACAAAAAAACTCCGGCTCCACACGAAACATTACTAATTTCCTCTTTAATGTAGAGAAGAAAGATATACCATATTTACTCGCATAAAGAATGCACTTGCATAATGAACGCACCCACCCCACAACAGGCACCAATATTTTGACTTCTATTTCCCTTCAATATTCGGCTCCACATGTCTCGAATTGCGGCCAATTTAGCTAGCCACCAAGTCAATTTTCTTTTGCCGCCAAGCAGTCAGGCCAAGTTAAGCCAAGCTAAGCCGCTCTCGTAATGGCTGCAAGTGCGTAATTGCGGAAGTGATCAACTGCGAAACCGAGCGGCGTGCACACTTGACGAAGCTTGGGTCGAGGAATTGCTCAGCCCCAGACATTCTTCGCCTATCGGATGCATTAACGCCAAGAAACACACCGTCGTCTGTGGTCCGCTTTCGGACAATGAATTCGTGAAAGTGGTTAGGCCTAAGGACGGTCGCGTTGCTCTCTACGCTGAGAGAGCTCCATAGGGCGCCTTTCCTTTGGCAAAAGGCACGTCGAAAGCACCCTAAAAAGGTTTGCAATTTATAAAGCATGGTTACTGTGGCACGCCCCCAACCAGCCGTGTCATATTGGCACCTAATATGACATTTGCACGAAGTGTGTAAATGCAAAAATTTTACTACGCGTAATGAACACACCCTCCAAATATGTGCAAATTTTTCTGGGGAAAAAGTTCATTATGCGAGTAAATACGGAATGTAGATGCATTTTAGATTATATAGGTATACATTATTTTACCAATCTTATCAAGACATACACACTTCAAACGCCAAAAGCATCGCTTCTTCCTCAGACAATCAAATCTTGTAAGGATTTGCGCGGCTCATGATTAATACACCAAACTTGCTTCTTTCTTGAGGTTAAAATGGGTATAGAGCCATAGTCAATGCTTGGAGAACACTGAATAAAAAGGTGACAACCAGCACCTTGTCACGTTTTAAAATTTCTGGTTACTGAGGGGTGTATTGTTTACATATTCTTAAACTTTTATAGAAAGGATTTAACTTCCATGAAGTTTTGCATGTGAGCCTCAATACAGTCGCCGACCGATTATTCGGACTTCGCAGGGACCAAAAAAATGTCCGAATACTAATAGAGCAGTCCGAAAAACCAGCAGATTGAAAAACTTGCCTTTATTACTTCCAAGTGGGCTTAAAAAAGCCGTAAATAGTGCCTGGCTTCAGGTTATGCCTGCGTGCCTTGTTTTAGGTTACACCTCTGTTTGCGTTCGGCAACTTTCTCTTAGCTTGAGAATCACTGCCTTCTTTTCTAGCGTTATGGTCGCATACTTTCTGCACTTCTTAACGACACACTGCAATGGCTCAAGAACAGATGAGGTCATGATGTCCAAGCCAGCATTGCCCGAACGAGATGAGAGACGCAAATCCACGAGCACAAAATAGCGACTGGCGACGCGAAAGTCGGGAGGAAGCACGAAGGAATGGAAGAAAACAAAGCAAAATCATAATAATGATGATGATGATGACATGAAGCTAAATGAAAAAAAGGGCTAGCATTAGGGGTGAGCGATTAGTGATTTTTGAAACCGAATCGAATAATTGTGGCACCAAATCGAATAGGAATAGGAATCGAATAATTTTCGAATAGTAAGTAGACTGCTACTAAAGGAAAGTACAGATTACAAAATTAGTTTATTGTTCCAAAATGTTTCTTAAAATCATTGTAACAAAGCGACTAGACGATAATGACTAGAGTTAACGATATATAATTAGAGACAAAAACTGCTAAATTGTTAGAATGCTAAAATTTAATATCAAAGTTCATGCTGGTGCTGAACATAAAATCACAGTTCACGTGGAACTAAAAAAAATAAGAGCAATCTTACAACTTATCAAAGTTATTTTCACTAGCTATGGGTAAGTAAGGTAACATCTTATTTTCGCAGACCAAGAAATGAGAAGGCTTGTTACGTCAGCTTGAGGTACTTATAGTTCCCATGCAAAAAAACAAGCTTTTCCACGTTTTCTGCAGCAAGAGACTCTCGTCGGCTTGTCACAGTGTTCGAGCACGTTGAGAACAGTCTCTCGCTTGCAACCTGGGTTGCGGGAATTGCCAGGTATTGTTGCGCCGCACATGCGAGGGTCTTGTACTTTTCTTTGCCTACAGTTTGCCACCAGTGGAATGGGCTGTCGGTAAGTGGCAAAACTGGAGACTGTAGGTAGTCGTAGACCTCTTGCATTAGACAACTTGGTGCATCATTCTTCTTCGATGATGCCAAGCTGTTCAATATCTTCCACACTGAAGGCTGCTCACTGGTTTGAGATTGCTGTTCGGCGCAACTTTCTTCGGACGTGAGCTGTGTTGAGTCTGATACATCCTGAAGCATTGTACTTAGTAGCGACTCTACATTCTCTTTTTCTTCCTTGTTGTAGCAGATGTCTTTAAATCGAGGATCAAGGAAGGTGGCAAGTGCATGAGGTGCCTGTGTGCTTACATCCAGGAACCTTGTTTTCACTGATCTCAGAAGATTCTGGAAAAATGCCTTGTTTTGAGTTCCACTTGCGCCCTCGGAAAGCAACATTTTCACACAGTGAACAAGTGGAACAACCATGGAAAGTGTTGGGAAAGACTCGGCACAAGCAGCTGTTGTGGCTTCTTCAATTGGTTGCAGCACTGACACCAAGGCCGTTACAAGACGCAATTCGTCCGTGGTCAAGTTCTCAATGGTATCGGTTTCTGCCAAATCTAACGCAACAGCGGCCTTGAGCTTCAGCAGGCGCTCACTATTCCATCTTGCGGTTACATCTTGTACCAGCTCAAGAGGAACTTCTATGCCCATCCTCTTTTGTATATCTTGAAGTCTTGCCCTTGCACTGCTGCTCCGTGTGTAGTGCCCCACTATGGCTCGCGCTTTGGTACACACATCTGCGAACCCCTTGGTTTCTTACTTGGCATCTTGAACGCAAAGATGCAAGGTATGTGCAAAACATGCAATATGCACCCACAGCATTCGGGCAATCGCAGAAACGAAGTTCCGAGCGTTATCAGTGACCACAAAGCAAGAAAGCGTCAGAGGTATGCCCCACTTCTCAAAGACGTCCTCGATCAGAGAACGCAGATTCTCCGCAGTGTGGCGTTCACGCATGCAGCGGCACGCAAGCACAAAACTGTAAGGCACGAAGTCCTCAATCAGGATGTGGCACGTCACTGACACAAAACTGTCGCCACCTCGTGACGTCCGGCTGTCAGTGGTGATGGCGATACAGCCCACGTCCTTCCTTAGGACGCTGTGCAGCAAAGTGTGGAGAGCATACCTGGCAGCATCGTACATTTCCGGCACGACAGTCCTCGAAAACGTCGTTCGAGAAGGGATGTTGTACTCAGGCACTGCACATTTCATCAGCTCTAGAAAAGCTGGTTCCTCTATGACTGTGTAGGTGTGTAGGCCAGTTGCGATGAAGCAGCCAATTTTCTTTGTTAGCGCCCGGGCGCGAACGCTTTGATTACTCAGTCGGGGCTTGAAAGCCAGCATCGTACTTGCGTTTTTGGACTTTGGAGCATTACGTTGCTCCGTCGCAGTAGCTGCACTTTCATACTCCTTGCGGGCCCCCGGATGACACTTCAGGTGATTCAACAAAGGCGTTGTCGTGCTTGTTGGCGTTTTCAGGATGGCGCCACACACAAGGTACTTCAACTATGCAGCGCAGGAACGATCGAAGAACTTCCACACTCCGCTGCGTTTTCTCTTCGAAGAACTTCCCGCTTTATCCAACAGCAGCGTATGAATACACCTTTTCCGTCTAACCTCGAACCAGCGCGTAACGTGCGTAGCCTCGACTCGGCGACTCGGCGCACAGCAGGAATAGTTCTTCCGGTTCTAACACTTTTGGTATGCGGGAGCAGGCCTAGCTGGCTGACAAGATGCTGAAGCGGTGCGCGTTAAATAGGTTTTGAAGCCCTTGACAGCGAAGTGAGTTGTAATAAGGTGGATTAATACGTCAATGTATCATGTCCGCACATATTTGGTCATCGGGCTGCCACTGCACAGTCGTTGGCTGCAGCAATTTTCGAAAACGGACGATAGCGCGCGACAAATTGTGCACCGAACACAAGAAGTTGCAAAGCAAATGCGGCTGTAATGTATACACTTTGCATCGCTTCCCCGCTGATATCAGTGGGGAAGCGATGCAATATCAGCACATAAAAAAAGCAAATAGGCAGAATAGAAACGGACATCTACAAGTGCAGTAATAGGCCTCGACAAATCAAATGTAGAACGAATTTGGAGCTTGTGGTGCAAATGTATGACCCTGGGTGTAATGATTGTTACTGGCTACTCAAGTTTTGTTTTTCATTCCGTTCATTCCTACGAGGATGTGCACTATAATTTTGTGTGTTGCTCGGTAGCGACGCCCGTAAAATACATTAATGGAAACAATACAAAAAGAGGGCGCAAAATCGTCGTCGGCCTCTTCCCCCCCCCCCCTTTCACCCCCATCTCCTGAATAGTTCCGACGCATCTGGGTGTCATACGAAGTAGAGATGTCCCGGTAACTAGCGATCGTACCTCGATGGTGCACCATAACAATAAACCATTCGGCCCGCGTCGCCAACTCCCATTGTGA